CAATGCGAGAAGAGGGGAAAAAATGTACCAGCAATTGGAAACATGAACTAAAATGTATTAAGTAGTAAAGAAAAGCCAACTAACGATTAATTGAATATACTTGAAAAGGCCTACTAATCAACACGCACAAAGGACACTATGATAGAAATTAGGAGAAAATGTGAGTGACACAATTCTTTGCCTTAAGAACATGTATCAAAAGATTCATCAGTTCTTAATTTCATATTACTTTTTAATAAGTTTTTAAAGCTATTTTTGTTAATATGATGCTAAACAAGTAAATATAAAACAATTATATAGGCAAAGTAGACATATTAACATAAACAAACATAGTAAAAGACTAATAAGTCGTGCTTTAGTGATTAACATTCAAAAAAGAAAAGAAACTGTTACTACCATGTACTGATCTTTATGATCATCGTTATTCAGGTATGCAACTTAGAAGGGTCTAATTTACCCAAAATAAAAAATAAAAAAAAATAAAAAAAAACCTCTTAGAAGGGGCCAACTAAAAGCCAATCTGATCACTTTTCAATTATTCGGGTCGGTCTTAAGTTAAAAATGTTGGACCAAAAATCAAATTTAATTCGGGTTTGGCACAACAAAAGGCCAACCCAAACTTATTGGACTGGGCTTCTAGTAAGGCTACAAGCCTATAGAACTCACGGTTTTATTCCTTGGATTTGGACAACGTTTTTTTTGAAATTCAATCCGGGCTTGGAGCGAAAAAGAAAAACCCAAAATCAAGTCGGTCTAAGCTTGGGTTCATGTGTCAACAATACAAAGCCCAACCTGAACCTATCCTTAATATGCTAACCGGAATAACTATATTTTTTTTATTTTATTATTAGTATTATTTTTATTTTTATCATTGTCAAGAAATTCACACATCACACTCACTTTGCTCCTTTAGACACTTGAATAACTTGATTTGTGAAAGTATATATTTGTATTGCACATAGGCAGTTTGTAATATTGTATTGCTTGCATATTGAGTTTAATATTTTTGTTAATTGTTTTGTTGAAGTATGGTACTCGAATGATTGTCTCACAAGCTTTAGCATTGCGAAGGTGAGAGAAGCAAACGAGGAAGACTTATGCATATCCGTCCAAATTATGACATTTCTTCGCAACTTATTTGTGATGGTAACTAATGAAGAGGAACACCTTCGAATGGATGCCCTCTCCTCGGCTCCCCCTCGCCTTAACAGGCTTATGTTAGTTGGAAAACTGGAGAAGGTGCTGCATTGGTTTCACTCTCTCCAAACCCTCACATAGTTGGATTACTAGTGGGTCCAGGCTGAGGGAAGACCCACTTCCATACATTCAAGCACTACCTAATTTAAGGTAGCTCGTGCTTACCAATGCCTATACAGGAAAGCACTTGTGCTTCAATACAGGGTTCCACAAGCTTAAAATTATGAGCTTGCATAATCTCTCACCTGAATGAGATAACAACAGAAAAGGGAGTGATGCCAAGTCTCCAAGAGCTGTTTCGAAACACGTGAGGAGTTGAAGATGTTGCTTTGTGGTATCAAATATCTCATGCATCTCCAGGAATTGAATTTGAAGCTCGTTTGGAGTGAGCTCGTAGAGCGAATACGTAGAGAAGAGAGCGTGGATCTCCCAAAGGTTGGACACATCCCCTAGTCAAACATTACTTCCAGTTGCCACACCAGAATTTTTGTGAAAGTTTGTCTTGATTTGATCTACTGCAAGAAGGTGAGACATTATCTGTTCCGTATTTTGAAAAAACAATTCCCATTTCTCATCTTATTGTCCCATGTATTATTCGAACATAGCATGTCTTAGTACTAGGTAGAACATGAAGGTAAAATTATATAGTACATGTGGTGTTTTATGAAATAAAAATTCTAGCAAGATTGTTGCTTTTGCTATTATTATTGTTGTTGACGATGATGTTGGTTATATCATCTATGAAGCAATGAAAGTCCTACCTAGTTCACTTAGTTTGTTCTACTATGGTAGTAAGAGATTCGATTTTGTGTGTTTCCTTTTCAACAAGTCTCCATTGATACTTTGCAATTACTTCTCCAATATATTGAACTCGAATCTATATACATCGATATCTCCTTATCTTTTTAAATGACGAATCTCAACTACATATACTTTATTAATGCAGCAGAGGCACACTAGAGTCAAGTTAATTAAACACAAAGTGGGCAATGGAAGGAAACTCAATTTTGGTTTGATAAGTGGTGTCATGCAGGGCCTCCCTTCCACAGCTACTCCAGTTCATTCAATGACAACTCTCCAATTGCTAGATTTGCTACTGTCGACCAATTCATCAATGGTGCTTCCTGGTCCTTTCCACCTGCTATACTATTCCTTATACCTGCCGGCCTTATCATTCATCTCCCCTCCCAACCCCTCAATTGATGATATAATTGCTTGGTCACCATCTCCCACACACAAATTCTCCTTAAAACACACCATTCTTTATCTTTCTTACCCCATCACCCACTGTTAACTGGGCTCACCTAGTATGGAGAACCCCATCAATCCCAAGTCACATCTTCGTGACATACTGGGCTCACCTAGTATGGAGTACACACACAGGCTCCCCACTCTCGACCGGAGGAGAACGGCTTTCCTTGACTCACAGAACATACGAACTCTATGCAAACTGGTACCAATAAGCCATTCCCACTTATTCCTCTCTTGTCAATTCTCTCAACCCATTTGGGCATTTTCACAAACAACATGCGGGCCCCTATTGCTCTTCAATGAATTGGTCATCTTTTCACTGGAAATCGAGAAGCAATCATGGTGTTACCACCCTCATGCCTCCGTCCTCCTCATAGACCTCCTGATGATGAAGGTTGAGGCTCCTGTCTCTGCTTGGCTATCCATGTCCACCACCGGATTGTTTCAACTGTTATGCCAACACTAGTTTGATCTGTGTCTTAATTGTTCTACTTTGTTCATTGTTTTGGGCCTATTATTTTGGGCCACTTTGCCTTCTAAGTCTTTCTTTTTGTTGCCAAAATGGGCTTGGTTCGCCCTTATTCTTGGGCTGAAATAAAACTCCTATCAACGCAATGTCATGCTATATAAGGAGTGATAGTCTTGATTTGGGCCGGGCTGGGACAAGTACCACCTTTTAGTTTTTGGCAAATGGTCCACTTTTTCTTCAATTTCGGCAACTAAATAAAAATTTCTCATTAATTAGAAACAACTCGAGCTTGTGAGTCCAAATAATAATAATAATAATAATTTAATAAATACTAAACATTACCGAGGAGTTGTTGATATTAATATTTTGTCAATAGAGTTCGTAGTGCAGTGGTAACTCCTCCAATATTGTGGTAGTTTTTTTGCTAGGAAAAAACATTAATATTTCAATTATATAATTTCACTATACATATATATTGATTTTTCAATTATATAAGAAAAAGTTCTCATTACATATTTAATATAAAAATGTAATTATATAAGAAAAAATTCTCATTATATATTTAATATAAAATTGTAATTATATAGTGTAAATATGTATTCATTCATCCCAAAGGGTTGAAGTCACTTGGTCCTCTAAAAAGAAAAAAATGTCTGCATTCAATTTCTAGTTTTATTTTCCGTAATATATATTAATAAGATTAATTGTTCATTTCATAGAAGTGAGTAGAAGTGTTTTTAATGAGTTGTGAAGTGAAGACTATTAGTCCCGTAAGAGATTTGCGAATAAGATAAAAAGAATATAAAAAGAAAAAAATTGTCTAATTCAATCGTCTCTTTCGCAACTTATCTACTTGAATCATCTAATTTGACTTATGAACGTATACCTAAAAGAAAAAAATATATATATATTGTGACATTTAATTTCTCACTGTCTTTAAAAATTGTCAATTACTGCATCAATTGTCAATTACTACCGCTATCATTTGTAGCCCCCTACACCCAAACTAAATCAATTTTTTTATTTTGCACTTTTTGTTTTTCTGATAAAAAAAAAAATCTATAAACAACTTTTTATTTATTTATTTTTTCAAATCCTTGAGATTTAAATATATATATTTTTTCCTAAAATGACAAGGATCAATTTTTAAAATTTGAGGAACATAAAAAATAATTATATTTTGCATTCTTATAATTTTTAACATTTTCTTCAATTAGTAAGTATACATGCACAGGTAAGGTTAAACCTTTATCTACCTTTACATGCTCTAAACTAAAATTCCCGAGCAACTCCACAACACAGTTAACAATTAATAACAAATAAAACTAAATGATACTAATATTAATTTTCGTTTATCCATTTGGTGGCTAATATATAAGCTCTATAAAATTTGGATTATAAAATATTAATATTAAAATTTTCCCTTCCTAATACATATAGTAACCAAAAAAAGACTCAAATAAGAGGACGCTTTGACCGTAAAGCTTTTGTTCAATCATAAAATTCAGTATTAAATGCAATAAATCTTTTCCTCTAACATTATCTTTTCAACTTTAAATCAATATTTTTCTGGGTCCAATAGTGTTACGAAGGATGTTGCTAATCTTCTTCGATCTCCGAGGTGTTCCAATTTTTCAATTCTAGATGATATAGGTGAGTTGTTGTCATTATTAAAGAAGGAACCATATTTTAGTGGTTCAAATGTCTTACTTTTATTCTGTCAACTTTGTATCATGTATTTTGGGCATTGCTCAATGGCCTAATTGGTAAAGTATTCAATTCCTTAAACGAATTTGCTCGTCTTAAGTCATTCATCTCTCTAATTTACCGGGGAAAATGAATAGATAAATTAAACCCTATATCCTATAATAATGTCTGGGTAGGCTAGTTGTTGAATTTTGAGACATTTTTTTTTTTTTTTTTTTTTTTTTTTTAATACTAACCATCCTTTTACAGCAGTTGAGACTTGCTGTAATGGTGTGGACACCAATTGAACCCACCACGAAAAAGACAAATAAGACTATGAACACAATCAATCTCTCTTTTATATATAAAATATTCTTGAATTGCGCAACATATACCTTCTTTTAAACATCTGTATCTTCGTCGTTCTATATAAATATATATGAGTGTTCAATGGTCCCAAATTAAACTAATGAAACAAAGCAAGAATGGATGATTACAGACAACTGCAACCGGCCTATTCATCAAGACGGCTATAGTACATGTGGTTTGTTTTTTTTTTTTTTTTTTTATGAAATTAAAAGTCTAGCAGGATTGTTGCTTTTGATGTTATTATTGTTGTTGATTATATATGATGTTAGTTGTATTGTGATCAAGTCCTAGCTACCTAGTACACAAATTAGGCCTATTGATCAAGAATTGGGTAGTAAGAGATTTGGATTTCCTGTGTGCTTCCTTTTCAACTACAGCCTATGGATGCAGACAAGAAGTTAATTGGTGCATCGACTCTGAGTTCTGAGTTCTTGTAAAGTTTGTGACTTTTCAATTGTGGGACCCACCACCCACTCAAACATATGGTTTAGAGACTTTTTTTTTTTTTTTTTTATGCTCATTCTCTCTCCCCGCTGAATCCTCTCTCCCGGCCAGTGCTCTATCTCTCTGCCTTTTTTTTTTTTTTTTTTTTTTTCTTTGCAACTTAAATCTTTGATTAATTCATCATCTCTTGGTAGATTTGGGTGTCGTTTGAGGCAAAACGAAGCTTGTGTCGAGCTCTACGCATCCATACCAACAATTTCAGATTTGGTGCACCCTTTGAACTTCGAAATTTAGGACCCATTTATAGGGTTTTGCCTATTTTGAGGTAGGGGCATCTTAATCTACTCTAGTCTTGTTCTATTGTGAATTTTACCTCCATGTTGTATTAAATATGCTTAATTTAGAGTTAATTATATCTATGATGGTATTAATGATGTCTAGAGGGTTTTCACGATCTTGAATATGGTTGGTTCATGTGCAAATTATATTTAGTTGTTGATTTACTATGTTTACTATGTGCTAGCATGCTGAAATTGATGTATGAGAGTATGCTTATTTAAATTGCGCCAAATTTCCCAATTCATGATGTTGAGCTCATATATATATATATATACATGCACATGCTTAAATGTATTTTGTTGTATCTTAATGTGTTAATAATTACTTGAGAGATGTTGAACATGTTGAATGTTTAATTTTATGATGGAAAATTTTAAATGCCATGACATTGAATGTATGGAGCATATATACATGCACATACCATTGGGTTTGCATAAAATGGGAGAAATTGTTCTTGAAATAAATATGGAGAATTTCAGGGAAGTGTTTTTGATAAAATGGTTTTATGCGAAACCCGGTCGCTGCGGGGTTACCAACGGGCCGGAGGTTAATATAGCCTAGAGGGGATTAGGGAGTCGCCCTAGTGTGGTTGAGCTAGCTGGGCCCCATAATGACGCCGCGGGGTTACCAAGGGTCAGGGACACTAGCCAATCCTCCTCTCGTGCCGCGGCGGGGTTACCAAAGGGCGGGCTGTATTAACGTTTGAAAGTGATGGTTTTGAGAATGAAAATGGGGAGTGTCATTGACATGCATTGCATTTCATTGCATTGCATTGCATTGGTTATAATTGGAATTGAATTGTATGTTGTATTTAATCCCCTACGTTGTATGATCCCTATCTCCCATTGGCCTATGCTTTGTTTGAATTCACAAAATTTGTGTCTTAAGTGTCACCTACTGAGCATATAGCTCACCCTACTATTTATACATTTTTTTCAGGTCTTGGAAAAGAACCGGTGAACGACAGCCCACCTCAAGCTTGAGCGATACTAGAAGCTCACTTTTGTGTCTTTTGTATATTTCCCATTAATTTTGCAAAGCACTAAAAGTATAAAGGTATATATGTATATTTTGCAAAACTTTGTCATGTAACCTTGTTGATGAATGGAAAGGATAATTTTAGTTAAAGTAATTATCGGTATTATTTGATTGTGTATGATCATATACTGTTGCCGTGAATTCGGAAATTGAGTCATGATAGGTTAAAAATGAATTTAAACAGGGTATGGTAGGCCTATTTTTAGGGGAGGTTATGCCGAATTTTTTGTAAAATTCTTGGCATCAGCTAGGGTCGTTACAGTTCTGATCGTTACAATATCTAACCTAAAATTATGAGAAATGATAAAACTTTCTATTTTTTTTTTTTTTTTTTTTTCACTCATAATATCAGACTCTCCATCTCACCCATCTCCACTTAATAATACAATCTTTTTTACTTGGATGCCATATGATTTTTTAAAGTTACGAACTAGAAATAAAATGATTGAAATATTTTATATATTTTTAGCATTGGACCAGATTTTTCTAACATTAGGTTTCATTATTCTTTAACTTAAATTATTTTGTGACCATTTTTATTTATATTGTTGAATATGTCTACTAAAAAGTATGAATTGCGATATGAAAAACTTAAAGGGTGTGTTTGGTTGCATGAAATTAGAGCCTTGTAATTGGAATTGGTAAAAATTGAAAAAAATAACTAAGAAAATTGAACCAATTTTTTTTTTCAAATTTCACAAATTCTAATTCTTGAGTTCCAATTCCATGCAGCCGAACACACCCGACCAAAAAGAAGAGAAGAATAGATATAACTACTAATTCAATCTTAAAAAGTAGCTCTCGATCAATCTGTTACAATAAATAATCAAAACATAACCAAAAAAAAAAAAAATTAGGAGAGAATTCAACGAATGAAGAAACAATTCATCTAAAAAGACTAGAAGAGTATAGCTAGAATAGTGACAGAAAAAAAATATTACATATTAAAATATATATTACATAGTAAGAGGTTAATTTTTTATTTTTGTCTAACACCTCGAATTATATTAAGCCACGACTTTAACTACTGTCAAAGACTTGTGGACAGTGAATTGCAGCAGAGCATAAGGTAGTGATAGTAACCAAAAAATCTACTGTCAAAGACTTGTGGACAGTGAATTGCAGCAGAGCATAAGGTAGTGAGAGTAACCCAAAAATAATAAATAAAGGGAAAACCAAATACAAATAGATAAATAAATGGCCAATAAGATTATGAAGTATGTACATAAACAATCTCTCTATCTATATTTATAAAATTCTTGAATTATGTATGGGATACCTTCTTTTCAACATCTCTCCCTAGTTTACTAATGAACATGTACAACTCATTAAAGTTGAGAAAACATTTCATGCTTAAAAATGAACACCAAAGTTGACTGGATCCCAGCTCTTGCACTCGGACCCTTGACAATTTCATAGATTAATTTTACTTTGTATCGTTTCTAATAGTTTATTTGCCAATTTCTGTATAGGCCGGTCCATATAATATCTACCAATCATCCAGATATTGGAACAGTGTTCCCTACAATGCAAGTCATAGTTGGTTGGTTGACAATTATGAAGAAGAAATGAAGTGCTGAGAAGGGAAGCTAGCTAGCAGACAAGTATGGCCTTTGCTGCAGTAGAACTTTTGATCTGCAAGATAGTTTCCGTCATTGAGAACGAAGCATCGTTGATTGAAGGAGTTCATGATGAACTCAACGACCTGAAGAATGAGTTACGATGGATGAGTTCCTTTCTGCAGGATACTAATAAAAAGAGAGGTATGACAGAAGTAGAGAAATCCTGGGCGGAAGATGTGAGAGGCATGACCTACAGAGTTGAAAACGTCATAGATGAGCATATGTATCACTTGAACCAGCAACAAGGTAGGGGTAAATTAAAAAGAATCTTCGATGATATTATTGGCATTCCAAAGAATCTCGGGGTGAAGCGCCAAATAGCCACTGAGTTACAGAATATCAAGAGAATGATGAAGGAGATTCCCGAAAGAAGACAACGTTACAGTGTTGTCGATCATACGGAAGGAACAAGCTCACATGTCGATCAGAAATGGATGCAAAACCAGACTGAATCTGCTCTCTTCTTTAAGGCTGAGGATCTAGTCGGGATTGAAGCTAATAGACGACAATTGGTTAGATGGTTGACGGATGACGAACCAAAACGCAAGGTCATTTCAGTGGTGGGAATGGGTGGTTCAGGCAAGTCCACCCTTGTTGCCAACGCCTACAACCATATCAATGTCAAGCGACGTTTTCATTGCTATGCTTGGATCACCGTCTCACAAACTTACGACACCGAGGACTTACTTAGGCGCATGGTTGAGGAGTTCTATCGCGCATCAAAAGAAGCAGTTCCAGTTGACTTGAGCACCATGAGATACAAACGGCTGGTCGAGATTCTTTTGGACTACTTACGGCCAAGAAGTTATGTAGTCGTCCTGGATGATGTATGGAGTCATAACCTCTGGCAGGACATAAAATGTGCACTTCCAGATGATGGACGTGGAAGTCGTGTCTTGCTTACAACTCGAAAAACAGACATAGCTTCATCTTCTTTTGAAGTTGAAAGCCATGTCCACAATCTTAAACCTCTGGGAGATTCTGATGCATGGGACCTCTTTTGCATGAAAGCTTTCTCAACCAATCCCAACAAGAGTTGTCCTCAAGGACTCGACAACTTAGCTCGTGACCTTGTTGCAAAATGTGAAGGTTTACCTCTGGCAATTGTTACCCTGGGTGGTGTAATGTCTTCTAAGAAGTCAGAATGGGAGTGGAGACAAGCTTGTGATGGCTTAAACAACTGGGCGTTGAGCAACGACACCCAGTTAGGACGAATGAAAAGCATCTTGCTGACAAGCTTCAATGATTTGTCTTATCGACTCAAGTGTTGCTTCTTATATTGTAGTCTTTTTCCCGAAGATCATCTAATTTCCCGAAAGAGGCTCATTCGACTTTGGATGGCAGAAGGGTTTGTAGAAAAGGTTAAGAAGACAACACCCGAAGAGGTAGCAGAGAGTTATCTAATGGCACTCACTAATAGAAGCATGCTTCAAGTGCTTGTGAAGAGGAACCCAACAGGAAGGCCAAAAGCATTTAAGATGCATGATCTTATGCGGGATCTTGCTCTATTGATTTCAGAAAAAGAGAAGTTTTGCACTTTCTATGATGGGAGTACTGAAGGCAGTGATGAAGAGAATGGAGCACGTCGCTTGTCAATCCTATCAAGCGACAGCAGACTACTCAAATCATCAAATAGTATGTCTCATGTTCGCTCTCTTTTTGTTTTTGTCGTTAATAAAATTTCTCCATCTTTGAGTACATTGCCTTCTGGGTTAAGACTATTAAAAGTCCTAGATTTGGAAGATGCACCGATTGTGAAATTGCCAGATGAACTAGTTCATCTTTTCAATTTGAGATATTTGAACTTGAAAAGAACCAAGGTGAAGGAGCTTCCAAAGTCCATTGGAAGACTCCACAATCTTCAAACTTTAGACATTAGCCAAACAAACATAGAAGTGCTTCCAACTGGGATTACTAAGTTACAAAATTTGCGGCATCTACTTATGTACCGCGTCAATCTAGAAGACATTCTCGGTTTTGATCTTGTTCTTGGCACAAAAGTACCCTCAAATATTTGTGATCTAAAGAACTTGCAAGTGTTGACTTTTGTAGAAGCAAAAGAAGGTTTTTTGAAACAGACAAGGAAAATGACCCAAATCACAAGGATTGGCATCACGAAGGTGAGAGAAGCAAATGAGGAAGATTTGTGTATCTCAATCCAAAATATGAAACTACTTCGCCATTTATGTGTGATGGTAACTGATGAAGAGGAACACCTTGGAATAGATGCACTTTCCTCAGCTCCACCCCGTCTTAACAAACTTGACTTAGTCGGAAAACTGGAGAAGGTGCCGCGTTGGTTTCACTCTCTCCAAACCCTCACACGTTTGTGGTTGCATTGGTCCAGGCTGCGAGACGACCCACTTCCACACATACAAGCATTGCCTAATTTAGAGAACCTCACGCTTGTCAATGCCTATACAGGGAAACATTTATGCTTCAATACAGGGTTCCAAAAGCTAAAAATTTTATTTTTGAGAAATCTCCCTCAATTGAATGAGATAACAATTGTGAAGGGAGTGATGCCAGGTCTCCAATTGTTGACTCTACACGCATGTGAGGGGTTGAAGATGTTGCCTTGTGGTATCCAATATCTCATACATCTCCAACAATTGGATTTGATGTATAATTCAAGTGAGCTCATAGAACGAATACGCGGAGAAGAGAGCGTGGATCGCCCAAAGGTTGGACACATCCCCCAGATTAGACATTTCTACCAGTTACCACACGGGAAGTTTTATGAAATTTGTCCTGATTCGATCTACCACAAGAAGGTGAGACATTATCTACTTTGAATTTAATTAAAAATCAATGTCCATTTTGTTTCTTATTGTTCCTCGTATCATTTAGGCAGAGCCTGTTCTACCTAGTGAATTCTTAAATCCGTCATTGAGTAGGTGATTTATTTATCAAAATACTTCTTGAGATTGTCTTTGTTTTCTTGTGTGTGGTGTCTAGGTTGGTATTCCCATATGAAGTGAAGGTCCTAGACAGTTCACCGTCGGAGACTGTTACAGGCAACTGCAACCAGCATATTGATCAAGACGGCTACATATATAGTACATGTGATTTTTTTTATGAAATAAAAAATCTAGCAGGATTGTTGCTTTTGTTGTTATTATTGTTGTTGATTATATATGATGCTAGTTGTACTGTGTATGAAGTCCTGCCTAGTTCACTAATTAGTTTGTTCTACCATGGTAGTATGAGATTTGGATTTCCTGTGCTTCCTTTTCAACTACAGCCTATGGATGCAGACAAGAAGTTAATTAGTACATCTACTGTTATAATGGAATAAAAGGACTACTTGTTTTTGCTATTGTACGTTATGGTTATTATTGTTTGTGAGAAAAATTATGATGTTTGGATTTTAAAAATGTTTTTAGAGAAAAATATTTTATGGCCTGGATGTAAATATATATATATATATATATATATATATATATATATATATGCGAGTGTGTGTAACGGTAGTATAAATAATTGTTTAAGGTTGAAATTTAAATTTGTTCTCTCTTTAATGGACAATGATCACTCTTGTTCATAAGTGGCCAAAAAATTCATCCACACTATACATAGTGATGGTTGGATGTAAAAAATTTATATGGAAACATGAGCAGTGAGTAAATTTATCACTCTTGTTCATAACTGGCTTAACTTGACATCCATACTCAAATTTAACTCTTATAGGTGGAAATTAGGAAAACAAAGACACCAAATAATTCATTTTGAGTTATTAAAATGTGGAGAAACTTGTCTTTTATTATTAAAATTTTTAGGAACATAAACAGTAATAAATTAATAACTCTCTTTCACTTTTTTGTTACTTTGAACCTTTCTTTGATAGGTGAGCATAGCAAATTTGTAGGTATATGTATTTACTTGAACTTTTTCGAAAAAACATTAATATTAATATATTTTTACCAAAGTCCGTAGTGCAATGGTATCTCTTCAAACATTGTGGTAATTTTTTTGCTAGCGAAAAAACATTAATTTTTAGAATTGCACATATTGGTATGACTTGAGAAAGGATAGATTTTCTAGAGCGAGTGAATTTAGTGGTTTTATTTTTTTTATTAAAAAAAATCAAATTGACGAAAAGTGGGGGAGGAACGTGTTTGAGAAGGTGGAATGTAGTCTTATCAGATTCCCTCTCCCCTTGAGGCCAACCTTACACAATTATTTTTTAATAAAAACTATTGTGTGCCAAAATGTTTGATAAGTTCCCACCTTTGTATGCATGCAATTTCTAGTTTTATATTTCCTATTACATATATTAATAAGATTAATTGTTCATTTCATAGAAGTGAGTACAAGAGTTATTAATGAGTTGTGAAATGAAGACTATTAGCTCCCATAAGAGATAAATTTGTCAAAAAGATAAATATATATATATATATATATATATATATATATATATATATTTATTTATTTATCTTTTTGACAAATTTATCCCCATATATAGACTATTAGTCCCCATAAGAGATAAATTTGTCAAAAAGATAAATATATATATATATTTGTCTAGTTCAATTGTCTCTTTCTCAACATGTCTACTTATTCGATTTAATCAATGGTATTATATCCAAAATTTTGGCAGGCGCAAAAGAAAATATATATTGTGACATTTCATTTGTCATGGTCTTTAAAAATTGTTTGTTTGCTTCAATTGTCTATGACCAAAGCTATCATTTGTCCCCACCCCCAACCAACCACCAACAAGTCCCAACCAAATCAATATATATATATATAGTCCCAACCAAGTCTCAGGGGATATGATTGTAATTTACTCCTTTTTTAATTAAAAAAATCAAACTGACGAAAAGTGGGGAGGAACGTGTTTGAGAGGGTGGAATGTAATCTTATCAGATTCTGTCTCCGCATGAGGCCAACCTTACACAATTATTTTTTAATAAAAACTATTGTGTGACACTGGTGCGTGCCAAAATGTTTGATTAGTTCCCACCTATGTACGCATTCAATTTATAGTTCTATATTTCCTATTATATTAATTGTTCATTTCAAAGATGTGAGTAGGAGATCTTTTAATGAGTTGTGAAATGAAGATTAGCCCTATAAGAAATTTGTAAATAAGATAAAAAAGAAAAAAAAAAAAAATATATATATATATATATATATATTTGTCTAATTCAACAGTCTCTTTCTCGACATATCTACTTCTTTTTATTAACAAGTCGAATCATCCAATTTGACCAACGAACTTATATCCAAACTTATGGTACGCGCAAAAGAAAAAATATATTGTGACATTTCATTTGTCAGTCTTTTAAAAATTGTTTGTTTGTTTGCTTTAATTGTTAACGGAGCTATCATTTGTCGCCCGTCCCCACTCCCAACCACTCACCAGCTACTCCCAACCAAATCTTTTTCTTTTTCCTTTTTTTTTTTTTTTTTTTTGTAATAAAAAAAAGTTTATACACAACTTTTTATTTATTTATTTATTTTCAAATCCTTGAGATATAATTTTTTTTCTTTTTTTTGAAAATGACGAGGTCCAATTTTTGAAATTTGAGGAACATAAAAAATAATTATTTTTTGCATTCTTATAATTTTTAAGGTAAATTGCACAGGGACCTCGAAAGTTTTGATCAACGCCGATGATGAATGGTTTTTTTATTATTAAATTGAAACCCTTTAAAGTTTCAAAAATGTGCATGGACACTCATCTAGACCTCTAAAGTCATATGAAATTACCTTTTAACCCTTTGACTTGTCAATAATTCTATTTAACTCAAAAAATTACAAATTTAACCTCCTAACTAAATTTAATGGACCAAACTAAAATCTTCATCCCTTCTATACATATAGATATAGTTTATATATAACAATACTTATATCGGGACGAGAGGGAGGGAGTGTCGATGGCTAAGTACTAAAATGAACCCAAAAAAAAGAAAAAAAATAGTTAGAAATTAGGGTAGAGAAAGATGATTAATGATGAGAGTAGTTTCGTCAATTAACAGGGCTGATATTTTGTAAATTAGTTGAATTAAACAATTAGGGGCAAATATGATAGTTGAAACCACATGAGGTGTCATTGTTAAAAAGGTCGTTGACCCGCATCTGAGTGACATTGACCGAAACCTCATGGAGCATCATGCATTTTACTCTAATTTTTAACATTTTCTTCGATTAGCAAGTATACTTGCAAAGATAGGGTTAGCCCTTTATTTCCCTTTACGTACTCTAAACTAAAATGCCCAAGGAATCTCATGTGATTATACTAGTAACTCTCCACAGCACAGTTAACACTTGATAACAAATAAAACTAAATGATCCTAATATTAATTTTCGTTTCGTTTCTCCATTTGGTGGCTAATATATAAGCTCTATAAAACTTTGATTATAAAATTTTAAATTATTAAAAATTGCCCTTACTATAATACATATAATAACCAAAAATGAACTCGAGAATATCTTTAAAATGTGAAAATAAATTAATAAAAGTATATTTTTGAAGACAAAAAAAAAAAAAAAAAAACCATATAGAACTACATCAAACAAAAAATTAGCCTACTGTCTAAGCCCCACTCATCCCAGCAGGCAAAAAAGGCACATCCCATTAGTGTTTTTCTGTTGATGTTACATACCAACATGTAAGTTTAATATTAATATTTTAATTTTCACATAAATTTGTAAGTTTCATTTTATTTTATCAGATTTAAACCCTCGTCATCTCGGAGATAGAGTATTAAATAAAAGAACATACTTATTAGATAATTTACTAGAGTCTAAGCCTGGAAGGAAAAGCCGAGGGAAAGAAGAATACTTTATTAGAAAAAGGTTGGTCCCAAAGTTCCAATTTTTCAACTCTAGTTGACGTTGGTGAGTTGTTGCCATTATTAAAGATGGAGTCACATTTTAATGGCTCAGAATGTTTTTTTTTTTATTCTGTCAACTCTATATCCTGTATTTTGGGTATTATTCAATGGCCTAATTGATAAAGTATCTAACTCCCTGACCGTGTGAGCTCGTGTTCAAGTCATCCATCTCCCTAATTTGGCGAGATAAAAATAAAAACCCTATATCCTTTTGACATTTTTTACTCCAAAACTACCAAAGAGCTAGTGAATTTGAATAAGGATGTCTAGGTAGGCTAGTTGTTGAATTTTGAGACTTTTTTTCTTTAGTACTAACCATCCCTTTACAGCAGTTGAGACTTTCAATCACAGTTTGTCAAAAAAACTAAGTTTCAGACTTTAAAAAATAAATAAATAAAGGGACACCCGGCCTCTTAGTTGAATGAGTTTCAGAATTTGTTTATTACTACAATCTCGTTCCATTGTCAGTATTGCTCTTTTGAAATTTTACAAATTACCATAAATTTTACAAGAAAAGAGACAGGAGTTGATTACAATCTTTTCCACAAACGAAAATAAAAGAAGTTAATTAAGCCATAGTTCACTGCGTTGATTAAGTAGCTGCAGTAATTTATACTTGCCTCTATAAATTGAGCCACCGTCACAAGGGCTAATTGCACCAAGAGAAAACTAGTTATTGCATGAACTTCTTTTTTATCTCATCTTCCTCCAATTTTTGTCATAGCAATGTCTTCAACAACACTCTCAGTAATTTGGCTTCTCTCTTCTGCTTTTGCTTCATTTTTTTATTTTATTTTGCTTCGAAAAGTCAAGCAATTATATAGATGAGAAGAATGTATAGGCAATGCCCAAAATAATACAACGGAAGTGTTGACACCCATGTTGGTATTTGGATTGCTAACCCATCTTCGGCCCAGTCATGAAAACCAAATACCCTTGACACCCGTTTTGGTAATTGGGTTCTGGCCCTAATTGGATTTGATGAGCAGTGAAGCATTGGGCCGAGAGAATATAATGGGCTGAAAGATGTGACAATGAGGTTGGGCTAGGAGGTATGTGGATTCGCAAATGATTTGGTTTCCAGCTGGGATAATGCAATGCAGTTAAGATGTTGGGCCATACACATCACATGGATGGATATGGATTACAAGAGAAATGGCAATGACGTGCTACACACAAGGGCATCGCCGATCATATAGATTATATTTGAAATACTTTTGAATTTTATATTGGATAAGATTTATATGTTTACTGGGTTTTAGTTACGAATTAATATTTATCTAGGGACTTTAGTTTGAATTTAAATTCAGTATTTAGTGATGAGGTAGAGTTTTATTGTAATTAGAATACTTATTGGTAGGAATTTGTTTCTAATAATTTCTATAAATAAATAAAGAGGCATGCTGAACTAAAGGTCCAACACCCTCAGAATCAATTTATTTATTTGTTTGTTTTTTCAAGCACTTTCCCAAAATAACATCC